AGCCAATAAACCCTCTCGCACACTTTATTTTCCAGAAAAACTCCTGGAATTGCAGGTCCCCTCCCGGGAGCCTGTTGCCTCCTTCCAAGACGGCCCCCCTTTCTCGGTGGTGAATGGCAAGGAAATCTTTGCATCCCCCTCCCGACAGTCAGGGACCCTACAGGAAAGCATTTTCCCTCCTTTTTTTCTGGTATCCGTCAGTCTTAGCTCGTTTCTGAAAAAGATCGAGGACTCGGTCCCTTCAAGTAATCGGGGAGTGAGGGCGAGGGTAGCCTCTGGGAATCAGGTGCGAAGGTCAGGAAGGAAGAGGCTGGCTTTGATTGGCTCCTGACACCTCCTGTGAGCCCCCGCCAGTTTCCTGTAAGGGTTGGGCGGGAGCCTATAATGCCCCTGGAGCAGAGCTCTTCAAGGGCTTGGGGTACCTGGGGCAAAGAAGCCTGCGGAGAGAAGTGGGAGAAAGAGACATCACTTGGGGCTCCTGGGTGGTTCTGGAAGCAGAAAAACAACTCCTTTCTGAAGCAGACGGACTGGTTTGCACTGGAGGGATTGTGCAGGCGATTTGTCTGTAGATAGCAGAAAGGTGTTGGTGGGGTGGTGGGGTACCTCACTTCTATAGCAGCATCCCCCACCCTCCACCCTGGTGAAGAAACTGCCTTAACTCACAGTCCCTCTGCAACCTAAAGCCTAAGATCTAGGAATCTAGCCAAGTTGACTGCAGCATGAATTGATTTGTAAGGCCATGGCCCTTGGCCTTGGTCTTGGCCTAGGTCTTGGCCTCAGCCTCCAGATGTCAAACCAGATTGGGAGGGAGGGGCTTACCGGGAGGGGTAGGCTGAGCTGGGGAATAGAATAAAAGCGTGGCTTTCTTTGGGATCTGTAGAGGGATACCTCCTAAAGTGATGTCCTGTGTCTGCTGAGTCCTATCAAATGACTTTTCTGTGTCTTCCCTCTACCCACCTCCCATACCTGCTAAGCAGCCACTGTAGAGAGCCTAGTCTGTGCACTGAGAATGTGCGATCTGTGGACCCTTACTCCTGAGCACCTCCGTAATGAGCTTAAAATCTTATCTGAGAAGTTGTTCATTATGTTGGTGTCCAGGGCACAGTTGGTTTGTGTTGAATGCAAGCATCCTTCAGCAATGGGTTGGAGTCATTTATAAGTATTCTCTCACTTTCCAATTCAGTTCCCTCTCCAACCCCCAAGTTCTCTCTTCCCAAGTCAGCAAAAGAGCTCTGGATTTTTGTTCTTTCTTTCACTGATGAGACTGAGGCAGTGATTATTGACTTAGTACAATCTCCCTACCTGGCTTTGCTCAGACTCTGGGGCCTGGATGGGAAGTCAGACCAGACATCACTGCCCCAACTGAATAATCTGTGTCACTAGGGCTTTGAGCCCAGGATATGAGCAGAGGCAATTCCCTGTTTTGGAAGCAAATCAGACAGGAAACCAGTGCTAGGATGAAGGAAGAGAACTCCATCCAGCAGAGTGTAATGGGGCCTCATTACTGAAGCAAAAACCAGCTGTTGGCTAATTCCTAGCATGCTGTAACACATGAGGATTTTGCAATTAGCAACCATCAGCCATCAGCGCAGGAGTTCTCATGTCCGTCTGCCTATTCGGCTCGGCAGTACAAGCAAGTTGCCTTTCAAACCAGAGGGATTGGCAAGGTAATGCCACTTTAGCCAATTTTCTGTCTGGCAATTCTTTGGTAGCGTGGTAGGTGGGAGTTGAGCAGTGAGGAGGAATTTTCCATCCCTGCTCTGATTTTCTTCAAAACTGTTCTGTGATCCTAAGGATTGGCCTCAGAGCTTTTGTTACTTCACAATTCTGTGCAATGACCCCACCCCAATCCAGGCTCAAAGTAACTTTATTACATACCAGATAAGTCTAATCACTTTATTCCTCTCAGCCTCCTTTATGGGGAGATTTTTCTGGCAGTTAGCGAATGGGCCTTCCTCCTTTATGGCATTACAATGGACTCATCAGAGCGAGATGTTCCTGGTTTTCCTGTGGACAAAAGGATACTTTTTTTTTTCTGGTCTCCTTGCTTGTGGGGGTCCTCTACTCCATATAAGTTTGCTGCTGTTTAATCAGCCCGGAGTTTTCCCCTCTGTCTCGCTGCATAATGCTTGGTCTTAGCACGTGGCTGTGAGTTCCAGTGACTTGTGGGGTAGGAGGCAGGCAACTCTTTGTTAAAGCCTCTGCTCCTGTATATGGCAGGAACTTGAAACATGAAAAATATTTCCTGTTGAAGTTATAATCTTCATTTCAAAGGTTGATCACTGGTGATTTAGTTTTGTTAGGAATAGCTGCATATACCCACCTTTCTGGATTTTGCTTTTTGTTATTTTCTTTCTCCTGACTTTCCTAGGACAACACCTCCAGATATATGCTCTGCCTGGCTGCCTGACTGTTACGGTTTCAGGGCCCTAGCATTACGCAATCCAGCCAGTTACACAAACATAGGTCATTTCATAACTTGTTTTCGTCAGCCAACCCCCCCTTCCCTTTAAGTGAAACAAAACAAAACAAAAACAAGACAGAACTTTTCCAAGGCTACTGTCCATCTGTTTCTTGGATGACTTGTGAAAAATAAATCAAGAAGGACATTTCCTTTTGGAATCGAGGAATATCAAACCTGTTCTGTTCTTCCTCTGCTACCCTTTCCCAACACACACACACACACACACACACACACACACACACACACACACACACACTCAATTTTTTTAAAACACAAAAACATTCTGGGGCGC